CTCTCAACTCTCTCGAGTCAACGCATCAAGCCAGCATTAATGCCCTAGGTCCACCTTTTGCGGCACACGCACACACATACATCCAGACACGACTCAAGGCGCAAGAGTCATGAGGATGCGTTTTACAGTATACGACTCAGACATGGACATGATCGATGAGAATGCGTGCGGGGCCCGACTGACCCACACTACTACTACTTACTAAAGATTATGACCGCTGCCGCTGCTGCGACTGCCAGCACACCCCAAACCCCTTTCCTCGAGCCGATGGTGTGATTTTGAGCTTTGGCTCAAGCTGCATCATGCGCCAGCCACACGGTTGCTCCGCAAATGTGAAAATCACGAATCACGATCAAATGTGGGCCATGCAGCGCGCGTCCTCCTCCTCCACATGGCCGCTCTCGTCTCTGAATTCCAGCTGATCCACAGGACGAGGGCGCATGAGGTTCGCATCTGATTCACCGCTCACGGTCCAAGAAGCAGATTCTGACTTGTGAATGCAAGATGTGCTGCCTCATCAGCCATGATGCGCTGTGTGAAGCTCGCGGAGACCCACAGACAGCACCAGAGCTATGCCCGATCGCATATACGTTGTGGAAGACGTTGCTGTACCATGTCAGAATCATGACGTGGGTGGTGAAATTCTTGGCGCGTCGCGTGTGAGCCAAACTACTCAACTTTCATGAGGCCTGTATGTATAAATCACACTGTAGATACCGTCATACGCACACGTATAAGAAATGAACTCGATCTAAGTCGCCGCGGCACAAGCGCCACCGCTATTATACTGTAGTTTGCTGTTTGCTGCTGCTGCATGCTGTTACAGTCGCGTAGTGCTGAGTACATTCGTGATTCATAATTCTGATCTGTGCTTCGTGAACGCGCCCGCAAGCGTCACATCCTACGAGCTCGTGATTCAGCACTAAAAGGGATGGTTGAACGTGAAGGATGGGCGATATCGTCGCGATTGGCAGGTCTCAGGAGCACATGCCGCTCGCTGCCCCACGCACGCGTATATTGCATGAGCAGCGGCACCAAGCGCGAA